TGTGAAGATGATTCACAACCACTAAATTGCAGGTAGTGCTTCTGAGGCTGCTGCAGCAGGCTACTGTCACAGAGGACCACTGTCCACTGCTCAGAGTGTCATGGACAAGAGCTGTGTACCTGTGACTTCCTTGGAATTATTGTTGTGGGCTTTGCACTTGTTAAGTCTAAATCACTTTTGAAAATCATTTTCACTCTGAGTGTGGTGGTGCATGCCTGTAATCCCAGCGGCTTGGGAGGCTGAGGCAGGGGGATGGGGAGGTTGAGAGAGGGGAATCACGAGTTCAAAGCCAGACTCAGCAAAAGTGAGGCACTAAACAACTCAGTGAGACCCTATCTCTAAGTAAAATACAAAATAGGGCTGGGGATGTGGCTCAGTGGTCAAATGCCCCTAAATTCAAACCCTGGTAACAACAACAACAACAAAATCATTTTCAAACTTTCTAAGATATGAAAACCATTTAGTTTTTCCTAGCTCTGTTTAACTTGGTAAAATAAAACAGTGCCTTTGACATATCCCTGGTTTTGGTTGGAAGGATGGGAATGAAGTCAGCACATCCCCAAGGACATGGGGCCTGGGTCAGGCTGGGCCTTTGTCCCAGAGCCTCCAGGAAAGCCCTTCACAGACCCTGACTGCCCTACAGGGCCACAAACTTCCCAGCCCTTGCAGAGGCCCATGGACACAGGCAGGTGGGTGGGGCTGAGGGGCCCTTCAACTTCCTGGAGAACTAGCAGGTGCTGAGGCTGGGTTGGAGAAATCTCCCTCTCCAGAGAGCTTCCAGCAGCCTGGTTGGGGCCAAATGCTGCCTCTCTCCTACAGAACCTGCCCATTCACCTTCTCGGGACACCCCGATCAATGGACCAACACAACCTGCCCTGTGCCACAGGGGCTGTGTCCAGGGAACCTGCTCTTAGACCAACACACCCCTCCTCCTTTGCTTGTGGAGAAGTCAGGCACCTTGCATAAACTTTGTCCTGAGCCCTAGTCAGTGTAAGAGGACCTGGCTCTGTGTTCCCTGCAGGCCCAGCTGGGCATGGACATGGTCTTGGTACCAACCCCCAGGCCAGGCCCAATCACACACACCCCCAACCCATGAAGAGCCAACAGAAGGAGACTGTGTGCTTCTCAGTGGCCCAGTTAGTGGCCCAGTTACCTGAAGGAGCCCCTGGGATGGATGTACAGTATCCACGTGACAGAGGTGGGTCAGCAGAAGGAACGCTAGCACTGCTTCCCAAAAGCCCTCCTCCCTCCAAGAACTGTGGAAGCAGGTCACAGCTGTGGGCTAGAGCTCAGGGGTGCAGAGCCCAGACCTGCCAGGGGCCCTTGGGCTGACTCCAATCTGGTGATCCTAGCCTGCACATGTAGGGAGAGCTTCCAGGGCCATCCTGAGCAGGAAGGTGCAAAAGAGGGTTGGGGTGCTGTCAGCCAGGACAGGGTCTCAGGTTCACAAGAGCAGGTGGCATCTCACAGAGCAGGCAAAGGTACCTGCCTGAATGAGCACAGCTGGCTCTGAACCACCATGGTCCATTTGGCAGGGGGTAGGACTGTACTCCCCAGAGGCTGGACTCATACACTACAGAAGTGGGGCAAGAGATGGGACCCAGAAGCAGACAGGAGGGCCTTCTTCCCTCCCCCACCCTGTGGTGGCAGAACAACTCCAGTCCACACCCAACATGCAGCTACCTGTCAGCTCCTCTTGGGGACTTAGGCAGTGGGGCACTCACAGGAACTGGACCTGATAGCTGGACCCACTCTGGTCAAGGTAAATGGCATAAGAGTGKGATCTAGAAGGCTTAGCGCCTGGTTAGGTTCCAAACCAAGACATGCCAGAGCCACTGCCTACCACCCTGAGTTCAGCATGTCACCTCCAGGGCCCAGGCTGGAAACACTGCTGCCTCCAGTGAATGGGGGGCATCCTCTGGTGCTCTGGCAGGTCCCCACTTGTCCTGCCTTGTCTGGAGCCTGAAGTGGCTCCCTTCCCCCAGGACCATCTGTTCTCCTGTGCTCAGCCACAAGGACAGCCTATAGCAGCCTACAATGGAGACCCTCCACAGTCCCTATGTCAGGACACACACCCAGTCACTGCACATAAGGGGCCCTGGCAGGGAAGGGGTGAACACTGGACCCGAGAGGCCTGGCACTCTTGGCTTTAAGCTCCCTGCCCCCTAAACCCACAGTGAAAATAATCCCTCGCTCCCTGGCATGCCCCAGTTCCAGATGCAGCTCAATCTGGCACAGCTGCCACAGATGCAGGTCAGGAATGGGAGGCACAGTGGCCCTGCCTCACACAGCTCAGCAAGAAAGCTGCCCACCAACTCAGGGAGCCCAAGAAGACAAGGCTTTCCTGTCCACCAGCCACCCTGCAGAGTTCTGCACTCTCCTGGGCAGGTTGGGCTGTAGGGCCCTAGGACTTCCCCTGTGACATCACTGCCCCTGTTGCTGTCCACAAGCCCCTAGCTCAGGGAGTCCAGGAGCACCTGCCAAGTGCCAGATCCAAGCCTCCCTCCAGGCCTGGCCTCTACAGGGACTGTTTGGGGAGCCTGGTCCTGCCTCCTCTGGGGTTGCTGTTGCTGCCTGGGGGCCCCTGTCCAAGACACAGCCTATTCTGTGCGTCACCCAAGGACTCCCAGGGCACACCTGAGCAAATAGGATGTCAGGAAAGGAGCCTAAGGAAATGGGGGATGGCCTCTGCCCTGCAGGAGGTGGAGGGCAGGGCCAGTGTGTAGCTCAGTGCCATCACAGGGTCTTTGAAGAGCAAGGGAGAAGACTAACAGGCACGGAGCCCCCAAGGGGCTTGTGGCCAATGAAGAAACCTCCCCCAAACCCCAAAGACCTCTTAGTCTCAGCTGAGCACCTGAGCTGCTCACCACCCACAGATAGGTGCAGTGCAGGGACCTCTGGCTATTCTTAGCTCAGGGTAGACCAAAGTGTGGCTGTGTCCCCTGGCCCTTGGGAATGGGGGCCGCTGCCTTGGAAGGAGGAACAGGAACCAGAGCAGGAAGCAACTCTGCAGAGACCAGGTCCTTGGCAGGACAGGCTCACACCCTGGGCCTACAGGCCACACAATCCCTCCATTGGTAGACACTACTGAGGACCACCTGCACGCTGTGGGCTACAGAGACTGCAGAGGGTCCTGGCCCAGTTACTTTCAGCTGGGAGTACTAGAGCGTGGGAAGACCCTGATCATATGGGCCTCTTGGGCTGGGGTACAGATTTAGCCTACCGAAGTCCCAGTACTAGGACAAGGCATCCAGGAGACCACTCAATGGAGTTGAAGAACTCTTAGCCCAGCTCCAGAGCTGACCCTGAGGCTGGGCCAGTCCCACACGCTCCAGGATAGATGTCCCGCCCACTGGGGGATGCTGAGCTCCTAGGGTCAGCCTGGGCCTGAGGAGGCGGCGCCAGTCCCACACGCCCCAGAATAGATGTCCCGCCCACTGGGGGATGCCGAGCTCCTAGGGTCAGCCTGGCCCTGAGGAGGCGGTGCCAGGCCCCAGGTGGCAGGAGAAGGCGGGGCGCCAACCAACACTCTGCCAGCCTCACAGCTCAGACTCACTCCGCACGAACATCATCTGGTCCTCGCTGTCACCTCGCCATAACTTGGCCTCTGCCATCACTTGACCCTCGTTGTCACCTTACAAAGTAAGTCCAATGAACAGGTCTCTTGCATAGAGGGAAACCCAGGCCCCAGTACTCGCTTAGATCCGTCCCTCTGGACAGACCCTAACCCCTGGGGCTAGGATAGCTACCCAGCGGGCCAACTGGTGTAGTGACCCCAGCGCCGCGCCGCGTCTGTCCTGCGCCGTGCGCGCCACCCGCAGTGCCCGCGTGCGCCGCCGTGCGCCGCGACCGGGGGCGTCGCGAGGTGCGCGGGCGGCGGCCGGGCTCCGGCAGCGGCGGCAGGTAGGGCGGGTGCAGCACGGGCGTGGGCAGGGCGGTGGACCCCCAGCCCCGGAGGGGTCCACACGCGAGCGCGCCCACGCCCACGTGGCTGTCAGCGTGCCAGGCCGCGGGAGAAGAGCCCCGCACCAGGGTGGGCCGCTGGAACTTGGGTCTTTAGGAGGAGAACTGCATTCCCCCACCGATTCCTGGCTCATTCTCCTGAGGGATCCTCTGCCCTGGCCGATTGCGGCCGAGGCTTGAACCACCGCCAAGCCCTTGGCCCTTCCCCTGGCCAGGCTCAGCGCAGCACCCTGGGACGGAGATTCTGCCCAGGACAGCCCCTGGGCCTGAAATAGGGGCGTCCCAAGTCCCCTTCCAAAGTGGAGGATGCCAGGGCTGGGGGCTGAGGAACTGGGGGGGGGCCCACTGGTACCCTGGCTGGGAGTAGGAGCAGCAAAGGGCTGCCCATCCTCACGGCCCATAACTGCCAGGTCTCCCAAGAGCTCCCAGCTTGCAGCTCCTCCTGGTAGGATGGGAAGCTGAGGCCAGTGGCCTGAAGGCTGCTACAGACACTGGCCCAAGGGCTGAGGCCCGCTTCCCAGACCCTCCACAGGCCCCACTCCACCCGAAATGCAAATTGCAGCCAAATCTGCCCAGCCCAGGACCAACTTGCCTAGTGGGCTTTGCCATGCAAAGCAGATATTGCACAGGAGGGCCAGGACATATCCAGCATCCAGGGGTCCTCAGCCTGCCCCCCATTGGATGGTCTGTGGGCCTGACCAAAGGGTGGAGGAGCTGGTCTGGGCACACCAGTGCCTGTCCTGCTGTCCCTGGGGGCAGAGAAGAGTGGCCCGTCCTCGTGTGGATCCAAGATGGAAGTGTTCAGCAGCTAATTAGCCCCACTGGGCAGGGGGAGGCGTGTGGGGCCTTGTTAATGGGGCCTCATGGGACATCACAGGGCCCTGCGCTGGTCTTGCCTCTGTGGACCCAGGGAAGGACAGGGCTGGACCGCTCCCTCCCCTTGTTCTGGGGAGCTCAGGTCATTGGGGGGCAGCCCACAGTTGTTGCTTCCTCCCTGCCCTCCAGCCCCAGGCTGGCCACTTCCGAAGCCCCCGACGCCATGGAGGAGTGGGATGTACCCCAGATGAAGAAGGAGGTCGAGAGCCTCAAGTACCAGCTGGCCTTCAAGAGGGAGATGTCCTCCAAGACCATCCCCGAGTAAGTCCATCTTGCCTTGTGGTGCCTGTTTCTTGCCTGGCCTCACTGTTCATTTGTGAGCCAGGACCAGGCCCTGGGGCGGGTAGAGGCCACAGAAGGACCTGCACTCACCTTGCCCCCACCCACAGGCTCCTCAAATGGATCGAGGATGGCATCCCCAAAGACCCCTTCCTGAACCCAGACCTGATGAAGAACAACCCCTGGGTGGAGAAGGGCAAGTGTGCCATCCTGTGAGCCCAGGCCCAACTCTGCGTGTGAGAGGTGTGACTTTATAAAGACTTCTCCAGTATCTGTGCTTTGTACATTCCCTGCGGGAGGTGAGGCCTGGGGTCCTGGGGTCGGTACACACTACAGCAGGTCCCGGATGTACAGGCTGCGCCGCACTGCATTGGAGACGCCCTCGTTGAAGCGGAACCAGACCTGGCTCCTGCCCACTGCTGTGCCTATGAGCCACTCGACTGTGTCCTTCTTGGAGGCCTCCACCTCTGTGGGGAACACACAGTGGGTTCTGGGCCACTCCTGGCCCCCCACAACCCCCCCCCCGGCCACCCACACACACCTGTGTTTGGGGCTGCAGCTCTCCTGACTATCACACGTCCAAAGAAGTCCCTCTCAGGCTGGTGGGGAAGAAGGACTGTTAGGCTGGTGGAGTAGTTGGCAGGGCCTTGGGCATCTGAGCAAGGGCCCCGGGCTGGGAGACCTTTCCCAGCCTACTACAGGCTTGCCAAGAGGACTAGGGGCAGGACCAACAGGTGGATCCTTGGGACTCAGAGCCAGCAGAGGCTCCTCACCCACTCCCAGCAACCCTGCCCACACCAGTCCTGATCCTGGGGCCATGCCTCCACCCCGCACCTGCTCCTCCAATCCTGTTCTTTTCATGATGTGCTCCAGCCTCTGCTTGTGGTTGCATGGGGCAAGCGGCTTCACTGCCTCACCCCCACTGCACCCCAGCAGGCCTTCCGGCCCTGGGGGATGCTGGTCCACCTGTAGGGAATAGTGGGATAAGGGCTGGTTGAGCAGACCTAGACCATGGAGAACGTCCACTCCAGGGCCCTTCCCACCCAGGACCCACTCTGTCCAATGCCCCCAAACAGGATCACCTGGGAGCTGTGCCCAGCCCAGGCAAAGGCCTCTGCCCGCCGCATCTTCTCCACCTCGATCTCCCGGGCAATGAGCTGCTTGGCCTGGTAGGTGAGAGGCTTACGAGCAGGCAGATCAGGGAAGCGGCAGACCTCCTCCACGTTCCTGCTCAGGTACACATGGCAGGACACCAAGGCACCAGTCAGCAGGGCCAGAGCCAATCTTCCCCTTGGTCCACAAACCCCACATAGCACAACCTAAGAGTTGGGTGTGGAACCAGGTCCTGGAGCTGCCCTTTCCCAGCCCCAGGGCAGTCTGGAACTAACTGCCTTCAGCCTATTTCCTGAACTCTAAGAGGGGATTAGGTGGAACCCGCCAGGCTGTGGGGGAGCAAGACATCATCCTGCCTATGCCTCCTGCCACTCTGCTCCCATAGAGCCCTGGGAAGCTGTAGGCACACACAGGCCACCCAGGGTGAGGGTGGGGGGCTCAGGGGCCACTCCTATGGGACACTGAGGCCAGGGAAGCAGTCCAAGGCATGGTTGACCCAGAGCAGGACAGGGTCCCCAACTCAGCCACATCTGGAAGAGGCTGAGCTGGAGATGACACTGGTGCCTCACCAAGACCACATTGCCCTTGGTGCCTGATCTGCAGCCCGGAGGCCTCCCCAGCCCTGTGTGCCGGAGAACTCACGGCTCCAGCCTGTAGAGATACTGCCCATCAGGCATGCGTTCCTGGCGGTACGTGAGGCTGTAGGCCAGCATGGTGCCTACGAGGCTGGACAGCTGTTGCTTCTCACGGGCACTGTACAGCTGTGTGCTTACCTGGGAACAGTGGGACAGGCTGAGCAGGCAGGGCCGCTCCAGCCAGGAGCCCACCCTTCCCTCGGCACTCAGCACTCACTGGCCGCAGCCTGGGCGCAAGGATGTCTAGTAGCAGGCAAAGGGTGTCCAGAACAAGGGCCTGGGGCGTGGCCTGGCTGCGGGTGGCCGGTGCAATGCCTGCCACCAACGTCTGGATCAGGTTCCTTATCTGGCTCATCCGGCTCTGGGCCTGGGAAGAGGATGAGCCAGGGTTGGGTCCCAGAATGTGCCAGGGTCAGACCCTGGACACAGGCAGGCACAGGACACACCTCCTGCTGGCTGCTGGGGAAGGTGATCCGTGGCACATGGCTAGAGGCAAAGAGTACGTGGAAGGCTGCAGGCAAGAAGGGCAGGTAGCGCAGAAGTTGGAAGCTCTGGCCATGGTGGGCAGCGCACTCCAGCAGGTCATCAAAGGCCAGCCAGTCAAGGGCTGTGCACACAGCACCCATGCTGGAGTCTCTGAGCCGGAGACGCAGGAAGTTGTCGAACAGGCCCTACGGGAAGTGGCAGCCTGAGTCCAACAGCCCATGCCCCGTCCACCCACACAAGTACCACCCGCAGGATCCCTCTCTACCTCCTGCCCACCCTGTAAAGTCCAGGGTGCAGGAATCAGCTATAGGGAGTGGCCGCAGGGCCTGAGGAATTCCACCCAGAGCTCACTTGCTTGAGAAAACCCTGAGGGTAGGAACCACCCACCCACTGCTTCTAGGAGCCCAGAGCCAACGGAGTCCAGCCCCAGCCCCTCCCCAACACAGCCAAAAAGAAGCTCCACCCACCAGAATCCAGGGCACAGAGGCCCCCCGCTGGCCCCCCAGGGAGTCCCACCCCTGCTGCCCCTCTGCACCATGACTTTCTGGACTGACAGATGAGTCCCAGCTGCTAATCCAAAGCTGCTTAGAGTTGGGAGGCAGCTTAGGGATTCCTGGGGGGCAGGGTGCCTTTGCCACCTGCTTAGACCAAAACCTCACCCTCTCCTGCTATCCAGAACCCAGCCCTTAGACAGCTCCCACAGCAGCCAGAGCAACCCCTCATTAGAGATCCAGGTTCCCTGCCTCCCTGCACCCCAAAGAACTCTGAGGCCCATCCCTTCACGTCTTGCTCCTGCCCCACCTTCTCCTCACACAACACTGTCCAGAGGGCACTTGCTGTTCATTGTCCATTCCCTTGCACAGGGGAGAGGTCTGCAATGGAGGGCAGGTACCTGAACCACTTTCTCATGCTCGCCTGCTGAGGTGGTGATGCGCAGGAGGTGGTAGAACCGCTGGGAGGCCAAAGTGAGGGAGCCCATGTCCCCATCACTGAGCAGGAGCGAGTGGGCTGGCAGGGTTGGGACCTGGCCAATAAGTCGCCTGCAGGGGCAGCAGGGTGCTGAGCTGAGATGGAATCTAGTGGCAAGCAGAGGCACCCAGCACTCCCTGACAGCCTCGAAGCCCCGTCCCACCCAGCCCGGGCAGTCTCCTGGGTGGTGTTCTGCTGCCTTTGCTGGTCTAGGTCTGTGCCACTTGCCTAGGGTTGCCTAAGACTTCAGCTTCAGTATCCTGAAAGCCCCTGCTCTGGAATTCCCCTTGGGGTGGGCAGTCCTCAGGAGACCATGAAAACCAAGTTCCACAGACCCAAGAGCTCCCCACTCCCAGTGCCTCCCCTCTGTCCTCAGGACACTGACCAGGTCAGCATCCCCACTGGGCCCCAAACCTCAGTCAGGGCAGACACGACTGTTCCCTGCCCACCTGAGGCCTATTGGTCTGGCTCAGGTGGCAAAGACATGGGTGATCCCAGCCACACCCTGAAGCACCCTCCCACCAAGGTGTCCAGGTGGCTTCTGCCACTGGCCCTAAGCCATGCAGGCTGTGGGGACCCAGGGGTAAGGGAGGCCAAGTCGGAGTCTCAAAGGCCTCCTGGCACTGGGTCTCTGTTGCTAAAGTTGGTGTTGGTCCACACACACAGTGCTGAGCACCGTGGCCATAGTGCTGAGGCTGGCCTGCCACACACTGCCTACCTCTGGGCCCGGGGAAGCTGGAAGACCTCTTGCCACACGGAGAACAGCCCCTTGCGCTGGTCCTTAAGGCCAACGTGGGTGGTCTGCACATCCCGTACACTGAGCTCCCGCTGTCCCCGCCCATGCAGGAACTGGAAACAGGTGGCAGGTGAGAGGCAGCACCCTCCCCCGACCTTGCCCCACCTGGGTGCCTGCCCACCTGCAAAGTGTTGATGCAGGCACGGATGTCATTGTCTGTCTTCTCACAGAGGGCTGCCAGTGCACCAGGGTCGGACCGCATGCCTTGCCGCAGGGAGACCTACGGGGAGGGTGCCCAAGTGCTAAGCTTGGACCACATGCCCTSCTGCAGGGAGACCTACAGGAGGGTGCCCAAGTGCTGGGCTTGGATGCCATGCCCTGCCCAAGGAGGCCTACAGTGCTGGGGTGCTGGAGTACCTTCCCACTGCTCTCAGAGAACAGCCTGCCCTCAGAGCCCACCCTGTGACCATAATCCTGTTCCCTACAAACAGGTAAATAGCACCCTTCATCCTGTAAGTGACAGGCTGCAGGTACCTGGAATTGGCCCCCAACCCTACTCGACCATCCACCCCATGGGCCAAGCTGGTCGTGGAACCAGTACCAGGGGCCTTGGTAGAGGAGGGGATGAAAGCAAGGGGGGCTAAGATAGGGCCATATCCCCCCACCCAAAAAGTCTTTGTGCAGCCCTGGCTGCATGCTATGCCCTGCTGACCTCCTGGAGCCGCTGCACCAGCCTTGAGGGCAGAGTGGGTGGGAAGTGGAGCAGGAAGGCCTGCTGCTTCAGCTGCCGCAGAGATGGTGCAAACCTGTAGATAGGAGGCCATGTGCAGGGGCTCCTCCCCAGAGCCCTAGGTCTCTCCCATCAGGAGCCCTGTCCAGCTACCCAACTCACTGGTCATTGCAGATGCAGATGATGGGCCTCATCAGGAGGCCCCCCTCTGTTCGGCGCCGGCGGCCCCCACCTGAGGGCACAGCTGGGGCCCCTAGTTCTGCCTCCTGTGGACCCTTGCGGTTCACGATGCTCAACAGAACATTGATGGCAGCCTTCAGGAAGGTGCACAGCAAGGTAATGAGCTGAGGCCCTGGTGCCAGCCCACCCTCCTCTCCAGGGCAGCAAGGAGGCTCACCGTGGGGGCCCCATCAATCTCATCAATAACCAGACAGTTGGGCTTTCCGCCTGCACCTAACACTGACTCCATCTGCGTGGCTGCCTCGATGCGAACACGAAAGGCCTCGGGGCTGCGGTCATCACTGCAATAGTGAGACCAGCAGGAAAGTATCATGGGGCAGCAGTGGCCTCAGCAGGAGGGCCTCAAGACATGAGCCATGCCTTGTGCAGAGGCCACTGAGGAAGGCTGCGAACCCACAGACCACACACCCAAGGCCCCTGCCCCTCCATGAGGCAAAAACAACCAGAGCTGGATTTCAGGACTGCAGCCCAGACTCCACCACACATGTCAGAACAGACAGGAGACCAAAGAATAGGGCTTCCATGCTACCCACCTGGCATTCATCTCCACCACGCAATACCCAGCATGTTTTGCAATCACGTGTGCCAGCGTGGTCTTGCCCAGCCCTGGGGGCCCACAGAGCAGTGCCACCTGCAGCCAAGACAGATGAAGATGCACTGCAAGCCATGGCAGGGGGGAGCCTGGCCACCAGCCAGAGGCGCACCCCAACCCACCCAGCCATCACATGAGACTATCAGTCCCAGTACTCAGAGCACAACAGTCCTCAAGACAGGAAAAGAAAACCCTGCAAGGGCAATTTACTTGGGCAACGACCTACCAATCACCCAGATCATGCTGGTGTGGTACAGAACCCTCTTGGGGACACCGACTTTACCAAAATTGTCAAGAGAATGAAATCAAGTTCAAACTCCGAACACCGGTGTTTCATGCCAAACTGACCCCCACAGCCTCTAGAGTAGCTAAAGACCTGGCATCTGTCTCAAACTCACAGATCCTGGAGGCACAACAACACCAGCTGCCCTGTGGCACAGCCCCAGGCTCCATGGGTGTGCAGCACAGCTGGACAGAGCTTACCTTCTGCCGGGGTCGCTGGCTTGGATCCAGTTCAGCCTCCAGCATCTCCTCTAGCACCTGTGCATGGCTTTTCCACTTGCCAGGGGCTGAGGCCTCCTTGCCAATCCTTACTGGCTCTACACTGGACCTGGGCTTCCGGGCAGGCCTCTCATGGCCAAACACCACAAGGTCCCAGAGTTTCAGCCACTTGAGGAGGCAGCGGTTGGTGAACTGCAGGAAGGGAAGGTTGGCCTAAGGGAGGGACCCCTGCCTGCCCCTCACATCAATCTGCAACCATGAGCACCAAGACAGATGGGACACCGAGGCTCAAGAAGGGGAGGGTCCAGGCACCAGTCCCTTGGCAGTGATGACACAATGGTGCCCACACCAGGGCCTCCATGCCCACAGACCTGGCCCCAGCCTCCATAACTCCCTACCCTCCCTAAGAAACCCAGCCAGTGAAGTGCTCAGTGCAGAAAAGGGAGCAGGCTTGGGGCAGTGACCAGCAGTAAAACAGCTCTATGCTGTTTCCCCATCTGTAACTCATTGTGGCAAACCAGACTCCCACTTCATTCCAACAGCCCAGTGGACTGGCAATGCAAAGGCCAGCTGGATGCTAGGTCTCTCCCTGTAGTTAACTGAAGCCAGTCACAACCAAGAAGGACACTCACGTCATCACTGAGCAGCTCTGTGTAATGCTTGGGTGCAAACTCATCCACCCAAAGGCAGTGTTGGGATGTGTCTTGGACACCAGCAGTCTCCTGCTCTGGGACCTCCATAGGCTGGGCCTCTTCTTCTTCAGGCCTAAGGCTGGAGAGTATTGTGTCCTGAGCTAATGTGTTCATGCCTTTACTGCTCACAGGGACCATACCAAGCATATACTCCGCAAGAATCAGGCTAAGACCAGAAAGGGTCCCGGGGTGGACAAGCCCACCAAGTCACCTGTGCAGAGTATCTGAGAGCCGCTGGGCCTCCTCCAGCAATCGCTGGTGCCGCTATGCAAAGAGAGGTGCAGGTCAGGACATCTCCAGTAGCCAAGAGCCCCAGCACTCCCCCCAGTAAGCTCTACAGACCCCACCTCATTGTCGACCTGCTCTTTCAGGAAGCTGAAAGACACACCCAGCAGGTCCAGCTGGCCATGGCCTCGCCACTGGACATCCAAGAGAGGGCTCTGGGTAGGACAAAGGCAGCAGTTACCTCTAGACCCCCTCAAAGGCCATGGGGTCACCCAAAAACTCCACCCCCCACAGAAGCTGGCCAAGGGAAACAGATGAAACTTTATCTGATCAGGGACAAGGGAGGAAGCCACCCCAGCGGGAACAGGTCCAAGAAAGGGAAGGCATAAAGGGTAGAGAAAGGGAAAGGGGGACCCTCCCCACCTCACCCCAGGCAGTGCACAGGGTGGAGAGCATGTGAACAGCTGGGATGGCAGCAGGGCACCAGAAGGCTGTCTCCTCTACAGCTGCACCCCCCAGAGCAGCTTGGCTCCCCCAGCCCCAGGCACACCCACTTCCAGCAAACCAGGCAGCCACCTGCCAAGTCTGCTGAGAGCCCAATGGGGACATGAGGCCTAGGGTTCTTTCTTAAATAGCCCCAACATGCCCATCCTTCAGGAAGGCCACAATCAGCCCCATGCAAACTCCACCTTCACCCCAGTGCCTGTGGGGTCAGCATGCAGCACCAGAAAAACCCGGTCGCCGCTGGTGGATGTCACATTGATGAAATCCTCTAAGACTGGGGGTCGCCTCAGARCAGGATTGCAGGTACCTGGCAAGGCCTGCCTGGAACCTGTATCTGGAGTCCTGGGGAGGAACAGGGTGGTCTCAGGGACTCTGCCTCCTGTCACTCCCAGATGGAGTGCCTGGGCCCACCCTCCCACAGGGCCTAATCCAGGGAAAGGGAGCTTTCCAGGTCCCTCCTGGACAGATGTAGTGTGAGGAGGGCCCCAGTCACACACCCAGCACCCAAGAGTTCAGGGGGGACATCAGGACTCAGTGGGGGCGTGATGTCCCTTGGCGGGGAGTCAGGAAGCAGCGTTTCCTCCCACTTGGGCCCGAAGTCCAGCCTCTTGACCGCTTCCAACTTGGGTCGTTTGACCTTAGGGGCTGCAGAGACACACAGAGGGAGCAGAGGCTCTCCCCTGCCTCACCCACCCAGAGCGCCCAGGAATCATCCCGAGGACCTACTGGGAGGCAGAGGGTCTTCCCTTCCGGCAGAGGCATCCACCTCCCGTTTCCTGGTGCTGCGCTTGCTGCTCCCGGGAGATCCGGCCGGACAGGGACTGACCGCCACGTCTCCTCCAGCGATGACCTCCTCGAACGTCAGCTGCGGCCTGCCCGGGGTGAGCTGCTGGCGCTTGGAAGGCGCTGGGAATGGTGTCGCTGCTGAAAGAGGAGTCACGGCAGCCGCCCCGGGCAGGAACCGACCTCAGTCCGCGGGGCCGGAGCGCCCTACCGCCCAGGCCCGCTAATTCCGCCTCACAAGGCCACAGTCCACCTCCTCCGCGCATCCCTCCTAGACCTCCAGGAGGTCACGACCCCCTGGCCCGAGCCCACCTTCCAGCTCGGCCAGCACCTCCAGCTCGGCCGCGAACTGGTTATGGAAGTCATCCTCTACGCCGTGCAGCTGCTCCTCGTAGTCCTCCATGGCGCCCAGCGCTGCGCAACACTGGCTCGGGTCAGCCCTGACGGGCGCTCCAAAACTCCCGCGCCGCAGAGGCCGCGCGCTGCTCCGCCCCGAGCGGTCAGGACCGCCAATCAGCGACCGGGATGCCCAGTGGCTCTCACCATTGGTCAGAGGCGCAGGGGCGGGGTCGTGCACAAAGCTGAATCACCATTCAGTAGTAGGAGCTGCGGAACCTAAGCCACTTTCCATTGGGCCGCACAGCCATCCGTCTGCGGCAGGTGGATCGTGGGCGGGGTGGAGAAGTGCTGCGCGCGCAGAATAGGCAGGAGTCACCACGTAGTGGTGGAAGCCGCGGGCCCACGGATGCTCTCCATTGGCCAGAACAGTCGTCTGTCCGCAGTGGGCGGTCTGTGGGCGGAGCGAAGGCGGGGCTGCGCGCGCAGACTAGTCGGCCGAGAAGCGACTCGGGGTGCCCGGTGGCCCGGCGCGGGGACGTGGGGCTGGAGCCGGGGCCCAGAGCGGCATCGGGGCCGGGACGGCACTGCCAGGCTGCTTGTCGGTCCTGAAGCTGGAGGGGCGCTCCGAACCGAGGTCTGCCTCTTTGATGTGGTGCCCCTGCCCACTCGGGAAACGGGCCGTAACCCCGTGGGAAGGCTTGTGGGGCGCGCTGGACACCCAGGCTGTTTCTCCCAGGTCTGGGGCGGAGAGGACCCTCTTACCGTCAGCCCGAGACGAAGCTGACTCGCCTGACTTTGGCCGGACTCCCATCCCCATCCGACGCCCCAGCCTGGCCCCTGTGCAGGGCAGCAAGGGCTCCTGCGGATGCAGGCGCACGGTGGGTCTGCACACTGCCTGAGATGCACTGTGCGTGGCTGCAGACCCGGAGCCCGGCACCCCCAGTCCCTAGGGCTCACTCCCACCTGCGAGGCAGCCCCCTCCATGGAGCCAGGCAGCGTGGAGAACCTGTCCATAGTCTACCGGAGCAGCGACTTTCTGGTGGTAAACAAACACTGGGACCTGCGCATTGATAGTAAAACGTGGCGGGAGACCCTGACCCTGCAGAAGCAGCTGCGGCACCGCTTCCCAGAGCTAGCTGACCCTGACACTTGCTACGGGTTCAGGTACACAGTCACCTAGATGGTCTGGCCTCTGTCCAAGGGAAGCTCTGTCCTGAAGTTGCTGGCCAGGATAGGATGGGATCCAGCCACCTCTCCCCTCTGTCTCTCCCCAGGTTCTGCCACCAACTGGACTTCTCCACCAGTGGGGCACTGTGTGTGGCCCTTAACAAGGCAGCTGCAGGCAGTGCTTACAGGTGCTTCAAGGAGCGGCGAGTCACCAAGGCCTACCTGGCACTGGTAAGACTTGGATAGTCCCTAGGGTGGGGTGTGGGGACTTGGCACTCCCAGCCCACTTCAGCAGGTCCCTTGGACCAGAGCTCACCACAAGCCGCACATGGATCAGCCTTCCCAACAGTAGCAGGCTGGCCTGTGAGCTGCATATGAATTCCTCTGCTTGGCAGGTTCGAGGCCACGTCCAGGAGAGCCAGATGACCATCAGCCATGCCATTGGCAAGAACAACACAGAGGGCCGGACCCACACCATGTGCATCGAGGGCACACAGGGTAGGGTAGTCGGGGGCAGGGGCCACAGATCTATATCCAGCAGGGATCCTACATGGACATGGCCAACATGGGCAGGTGGGGTTGAACAGGGTCTGGAGGCTGTTCCAGCCCACCTTCACACCCTTCTGTACACCCAGGTTGCGAAAACCCAAAGCCGAGTCTCACAGAGCTGGTGGTCCTGGAACATGGGTTGTATGCTGGCAGCCCAGCGTCCAAGGTGCTGTTGAAGCCACTTACAGGTATGTCCAGCGTGGGGCAGAGGTCAGTCACAGGGAAAGGAGCCTAAGGCACAGGCAGCATGGCCAGCTGGGGTCACCCAGCATCTAGTAGAATGGTACGAGGTTTTTGCTGGCTGCTGGCTGTGCTCTGGTGGATTTTGCTGGGTTCTACAGTAAGATCCAGCACTGCCCTGGCTGTGCACTCACAGCAGTCCTAGAGCAATTTCTGCCCTGTGACCCATCACCTCATTGTCTCATCCCTATCAAGGGTCAGGAAGGTCCTGTCCCAAGCGATTACCATGGGGTTGCATAGTCACAGCAAGGAACCCTGCTGGATGTAATGTGGGCCTGGTGGTGTGTGGCATGCAGTAGCCCCACCCCGCCTGACCCCTGACCCCATCTGCAGGCCGGACTCACCAGCTGCGTGTGCACTGCAGTGCCCTGGGCCACCCCATTGTGGGTGACCTGACATATGGGCAGGCTGAGGGCCAGGAAGACCAGCCCTTCCGAATGATGTTGCACGCCTTCTACTTGCGCATACCTACACAGGCTGAGTGCGTGGAGGCCTGCACACCAGACCCCTTCCTGCCCTCACTGGATGTCTGCTGGAGCCCACACACCCTATTGCAGCCACTTGACCAGCTTGTCCAGGCCTTACGGGCTGCCTGTGACCCTGACCCCATGGACAGTGGCCCTGGGCCCTGTAGCCCCTCCACACTGCTGCCTGAGCCAGGCCAGCTCCCTCCTGAAACTGAGGCACAGCGAGCCTCTTGTCTGCAGTGGTTATCAGAGTGGACACTGGAGCCAGACAACTGAGAGTCACTGGGCTGTGTAGGGGGTGCTGGCTCAGTGCCAGTCTGCAGGAGGGACTGGCAGGGCTGGCAGGATACCAGGTAGTCATGTTTGCTGGAGGATTGAGGCTCAGACTGTGGAATAGATGCTTGGCTACGGAGCTTCCTCCCATGTCCCCTGGAGAAACTGAGGTTCTTCCTGGGATAGTTTTTTTTTTTTTTTTTTTTTTTTTTTTTCTTTCTGGGATGTACTCCTGGGGCCTGCATTTCACAGACTTGCCCAGGCCACTCAGCAGGGAGGGACAGAGCCAGGACCAGGCCAGGCTCTGCCTCCAGGATGGGCTCACTCTGGGCTCCTCAGGGCCTGGGCCTCCCTGTCTTTTGTGTTGTGAGGCACTCAGCTCCAGTCTGCCTCTTGAGTTCCCAGCCTGGTTGGACCTTCTGCACCTGTCTCCTTCCTGGCCTGGCCTGCTTCACACCTTGCTTCAGCTGCACTCTGCTGCTGGCCTCGCCTACGTCTGGAGCACAGGGGTGTGGGGGGGCTTCGGAAGAGGCACCTCCCCATGTACTCCTATCCTCTGGGTGCTGCTTCTGCTACAAGGTCCCACAGGCTTCTGACTGCAGCTCCTGCCACACCACCATCTTCCTGGATCACACAGCAGTGGGATGCCAGTCCATGCCTTCAGGGAAAGCACAGCCTGGCCTCACCTCCTGTCCCCTACACCTTGGCCAACCACCCTGGCAGCAGCTGGGTGAGGATTTGGAATAAATTCTCAGTGCCAAATCCCAAGCGTGACTGAGTGTATCTGATGTGGGGCTCTGGGGTGCTCCTGCCTTTTGCTAGGCCTGCCTCCTGCACATCTTCACTAGCCAGCAGAACCCATGACACCGCTAGGTCCTGGCCTTCAACCTGCCCTCTCTCCATAAGCAGTGAGCCTTTGTGGTTCAGGGTCCTTGGAGGCTGGACTCTTTTTTTTTTTTTTTAATATCTTTATTTTGTTTGTTTATTTATTTATTTTTAAATATTTATTTTTTAGTTTTAGGTGGATACAATATATTTTTTTTAAATTTTTGTACGGTGCTGAGTATCGAACCCAGTGTCTCACATGTGTCAGGCAGGCACTCTGCCACTGAGCCACAACCCCAGCCCCGAGGCTGAACGCTTGATGGGAGCAGAAATGGGGATGTCCAGTCCCCAACAGCATAAATCTGGCCTCAGCCAGGGTCTCTGGTGTAGCCTACAGTCTGGGCCCACACACAGTCTTGGCTCCCGGGGTCCAGAGCCCTAAGGCCTTATCCTGTCGCCCCTGGTCCCTCCCCACTGCAGATTGCGTTCTATGCTGGCCCCACATTGACCCTGGGCAGGATTTCAGCAGTGCTGGGAGTAGAGGTAGCTACCCTTGTGCCCTTGGCAGAAACCCCCTGGGGCTCAAGGTCAATTGTTTCTGCTTCCTGCAGGAAAGGGGGAAGGTACCTGGAGTGGGTCAGGGGAAGCCAGGCCCCCAGCTCAGGGCACATCCCCTCAGCCTTCTGTCCTCTGCTGTTCATACCCCTGTGTCTCCTTCCCACCCAAGGAGGTCTGGTTCATTTCCTATTTTCTCGGGGTCTCCTTGAATGGTAGTAGTTTGGGCCCGTCTCCAAGGGATATCCCTATAGTCTCAGGCCAGTCCAACTTTCTTGGCAGCGGCCTGTGGGCTCAGCAGCCGCCATGCCCACTGCTGCCACATGGGGCCGCCCTCGCCTCTGTGCCTGGGACCCTGAGGCCAGGAGCTCAGCTGCTTGTCAAGGCACATGGACTTGAGCCTGAGACCCTTCACACCCTGGTGCCCCAGGAGTCCCTCCCTGAAAGACCTCAGGCAGGGCTATCCCAAAACACCCCAAAGGGTTGATCAGGCTCAGGACTGAACTAGGAGATGGTGTTCAGTCCAGGTCAGCTATGTTCTCCAGCTTGCTTTTGGACAAAAGTGCTCAGAGACAGCTGCTGCCGCCTCAGAGAGTGGGTTAGGATGTCTTCAGCAGACAGGCCTCCAAGGGGACCAGGGCAGGAGGCAAGACTGCAAGAGGGACTTCCCAACCCACCTGCTGGATGGTGCCAGCAGAAGGTTTCCTTGCCCTAGGCCAACAGTTTCTTTCAGTTACTAAAGTTAAATACCCCTACTTTTAAAAAGTCTCCCCATTACAGGTAAAGCCACCTTCACAGGCCCCACCAGGGCCCTGCCAGAGCAGGGACAAGGCAGTGGCTGGCTCCGAGGCACATCCTCTATATCCTACTACATGACATCCCTCCCACAGACCCCTCAGCGTCCAGAGCTACCCTAAGACCTTGCTAGCCAGAATCTGTTCCTACCAAGTGAGTTCAGGGCTTGGGTGCAATCATAAACAGTCTCGGCTGCTGGGATCAGTGCTGGGTTTCAGGTGGGCCTGCCCAGGACCCTCCCCCAATCCACTCCCCAGGACCTTGGTCCCCTCCAAACTGGGCCATCTGGACCTCACCGCTCCACCCCACCTCTGCCAGATGTAGTTCTCAGAGCCACTGGGCAGCTGTATCAGCCCAGCTGGTGGCCAGAGGCCCATGCCAAGCTGAGCAGGACTCCAGACACCCAGACAGCCTGAGCTGCACAGGGCCTCAGCTTCTGTGTCCTATTGAGCCCTCAATGGTGCTCCTGGCTGGGCCTCTCCAGTGCTTGGGGGGCCATTGTCTGCTGTTGCCCCAACTGTGGGCCCTATAAGGCTCAGCCCAGCTGTGGAGCTGGCTCCCAGGGTACTCAAAACCTGGAGTGTAGGTGGAAGTTATGTGGCAGCTGGACCAGCCACTGGGGTCCTGAAGCCCCCTTGGGCCTGCAAATGTGAAAGCTGCCAGTGGGTGGCCTAGGGCTAGGAAACCTTCTGCTGGCACCATCCAGCAGGTGGGTTGGGAAGTCCCTCTTGCAGTCTTGCCTCCTGCCCTGGTCCCCTTGGAGGCCTGCCTGCTGAAGACATCCTAACCTGCTCTCTGAGGCCACAGCAGCTGTCACTGAGGACAGGTGAGACCTGAGCAGTGCCATTGACTGGGACAGGGCTGAGCATGGCACAGCTCTCAGGGCATGTGCCCACACACCCTCTCTGTTCCATAAGCTGCAACACATACGCACACCTGGCAGCTGTATTCTGCCACTGCAGCATGGCCACACCCACTACCGTGTTGATTCACGTGTGCCTAATGTCCCACAGAGACACCTGAGGACATGGATGAGCTCCAGGGTGCAAGAGCACATGGGCTAAGGTGCATGCATACGAGGCTGTATGCTTACCTGGAGCGTCACCCAAGGGGTGCCAATGCCAGGGCTGGGTTCCCATGGGGAGAGGCGTGTGCTGGGTGGCTGCCAAATGTGAGCTCAGCCTCCTGCTCCCCTGGGACTGAGGAGCAGGTGCCCGCTATGCATGGGGCCCTAGGGCTGATATGGCAGCATCACCTGGCACAGCCCAGATCCCTCCCCTTCAGGCGGGTCCAGCTGCTGTCACTGTAGGAGTGGGGTCCACAAGGCAGTTTAGTTGCATGCCACCCACTGAGTCAGGCATGAAGGTGAATGGGGACTGAAGTGACCCTGTCCCACTCCTCCTGCACCCCAGTGCTCAGCTGCACAGACCAAGATGCTTGGCAGGCTGGGATCACTGACGTCTGGAACACCTGCATCTGAAGACCACGTGACGGGGAACAGCCCTGTCTCTGAGGCATAGGCAGCACCTCCGCCAACCACAGATGTGCTTCCTGCTCAGGTGAGGGGCAGGAACAGAAGCAGGAGCCACCAGCTGGACCAAAGGGCTCCAGGCTGCATATCTGGGCCCTGGGCTTCCTTGAGCAGGCAGTTGAATCCCTCTAAACCTACATTTTAGCCCCAGCAAAAGGTGGTAACTTCCCTGCCTCCCATCCAGGCCGCGTAAGGTCCAGACATCCAAAAGTACTCAGCCATGAACTACAGGCTGTGTCCGTGAGGCTGTGTGCTGTCTGTGAGAGGCCAGCGCACTTGGCAGCCAGCAGCACTGACCTCCATGCCTGAATCCATGCCCCAGGACTCAGATCTCAGTGACAGCACTGGTGTCCAAGACCTGGAGAGGGAAAGGGGGCTGCCTGGGCCACCCAGTGCTGGCGTCTCCCCCTCACTGCCTGCGGGACTGCTGTTTGTGAGAGATGTGTTAATTGGAGGCGCTGCAGCCTGTGGTCCCAGGGGCCAACCTGTGATAAGAAAGGCCCGGTCCCTAGCTCCCCTCCCCCGCACTCCCTTTTGTTCTGACGCTTATTTGTGGGATTGTTTTCCTCCCAAAGGCAAGACCGAGACGGCTGCAGCCCCAGGCACAGGCTAGACATCTCGTGTGAAGCTGGACATGACCCTCTTGGTGCCTGAGGCCCGCCCCTGTTACGGTCTCTTGCTAGTCCAGGACCTGCCCCCTCGGGACACCTCAGCCAGGATGACCAGGGCTCACTGCCGCTCAGCCGTGGGCCCCAGAGTGGGTAAGATGATTCCTCCATGAGAAGGAGGTACCCTGGGCTCCTCTGGAGCACTCTGGGATGACAAACCCCTGTGGCTGGCCCGCCACTTTACTGTGGGACTGCCTGGTGCTCTGGTTGCCCCTCCTCAGGGGCCCAAACTAAGGGACCTGCTGTAAACAAGGGGAGGCCCCCAGGAAGCATGAGGCTAACCGGGTGGTACAAAACTGCATCATGAACATAGCCCCAGGGGTGCAGTCCTCAGGGTCCCAACAGGGACAAGGCAGGTGAGGCCAGGTCTACTAGGGGCCACTGCCAGCCCCACACAGGCCAGGCCAGGCCCCAAGGATGGGCAGGGATTGGGGTAGAGACCCAGAGACACACTGCCTTTCTTGGGAGGGCAGACACCCAGCTCCAGCAGCCCAGGAGACCACAGGCAGGGCTACCTGGGCTGTGACCAGGTTCTCCACTAATGACACCCTCCCTGTGCCCTTTCAGTGCTGGAGATTTTTCTAAATGGTCTGTTCAGGGTCAGTGAGAAAAGGGGGTGACCTGGACTCAAGCCTCCACTTCCTGGGCTGGGTTTCCAAGGCAAGAATGTGGCTGGGCCCCCCAATCCTGCTGGGAAGCCCTGCTGTGCCCCAGTGCAGAGGGTGAGGGGCTCCTCCCATTTTGAGCCTCAAAACAGACTGTGAGGACACAGAGCCACTGTGGGAGGAGGTCTGGCTGGAGGTAGGAGGAAGTTGCACACACGCACAGGCCAGAGAACACACTGGCTCCAGTGCACTCGCATACCACACCTCACACACTATCTGACCAAGCCACATGTGCACAGGAGCCCATGTACTCCCGGTCTCCTCCAGAGCCTCCCCTCCAGGAGGACAGGGGTTGGGGGTCAGAGGCCCACCCAGGATATAGGGAGCCTTGCGCAGACCCCAAATACCACTGGCCACGTTCCTGCTACCGCTGAGCCCTCATGGCTGTTCTGTTCCAGGTACCCTGGCGAGTCTGGGCCTCACCCTCTTCCTTTCCCTTACTGCCCACTGTTCCCGTTATCAGGCCAAGGGCTTCCCCCAGGGAGAGCTGGACATTGCTGGGGCTGACCATTGGGCCAGGTGAGTGCTGGGCCCCTCCTGGAAATTATTTCCTGTGGCTGATTCATGGTAGGGCAGAGTGGGAGGAAGGGAGGAAGAGGGGTCCTGGGTGGCTGTGGAGGTCCTAGGGAGGGACCACGCCCAGGGTCTGCACATGAGGTCCAGTCATGGCCATGTAGGTCCACCATACCCCAAACTGTGACCTCGGAACCTGGCCTGCCTTCAAGGTCACTCAGCCACCTGGCCCCAGACAGCCCAGTATGTCCAGAGTCCAGCTTTGGTTTCCACATTGGTGGGATTGGGTCCCCCGCGTTCTCAAGGTAGCAGCCAGCTACAGAGGCCTTGACCATCAAAGGCCCATTTGCTTGGCCCCCAAGTCTCCCCATGGGGCTCCAGGCCATCAACCCCAACTGCTGGACCAGGCCACGTCATCTTGAGTCCTTTCAGCCCCCCTGTCCCAGCCTGGTCATTTCCTCCCATTGTCTAGGGGTCTCACTCCTCAGCTTGGCACACTGATCAATCAGTTAATGAGGCTGGTTGGGTAGGACCAGGTCCCAAGGGGGACCAGTCAAGCCCAGGCTCATGTGGCCCAAGACCCCTCTCTGTAAAGATTTTATTAGTCATGCCTTAAGGAAGGGAGGCTCAGAGAGATGGCCTTGCCTGCAGTCACACCATAAGTGCCTCCACGTCCCTCAGACACCAGAAAATTGGTCAGGGCCTGAGCCAGCTGGGCCTGGGCCCTGGGAGCAATTGCAGACCCCACATGTGAGCAGTTGCCACATGTAGGCCCCAAGCAGCTAGAAGTCTGGCCCCGATGGGGTACTCAGGGAGGAAGGAGGAGGAAGAAAGGAGCAGGAATCTGACCTTGACCATGACCGGACACATCTTGCCTCTTACTCCCTTGGTGCTGGGAGGCAGTATGACTCCAATCCCACGCACTGTATCTGCCTCTTACCTGGGCCTGCCCCTCCCAATCCCTGGGCCCCTCACTGTCTTCTCCTCCTGCCCAGGGTCAAAACCTCCCTCCTGCAAGACTTTTGGTGCCAGCCAGCCAGCCAGCTGCCTCAGGAGCATCTCTCCGCTCTGATCAGGTGCCTGGCCACCCAGCGGGTATCACTCAAAGCCTGGCAGGTAAGCCTTCACAGAGGCAGAGCGCATGGGTATGGAGGGSGAGCCAGGCTGCTGGAGGAGGGCCTACAGTTGGGCACAGGTTTGCACCAAGCCAGACCCCAGCAGAGATGGGCAGGAGGGGGCCGGGGACTGGACTGGGGCAGGGGGCTTGGGAGTGCAGGCACCAATCTGCCAGCTTCAAAACCACCAAGAACATGGCTCCTGGGGCCACCATGACAGGATGCCTGGCCCTCTGTGATGGACTGTCACTCCTCTGGGCTGGCTTTTCAGTTCAGTCCAAGGTGGACCCCTGGTCATGTCAGCCAATCTGCCTGCAGGTGCTTCTGCCTCCCACCCTGGCGGTGATGAGGGCTTGCCACATGGCTGTGTGATCCTCCCTAGCTTCCTCTGGTGTATAGTGCCCCCTGTGGGTCCTCCAGGCCTCCAGGACACACCCCAAAGTGGGTTCTGCAGCCCACTGATCTCTCCCTGGGGCGTGCCTAAGGATCCTGAGCCATGAGACCATGAGGCCATGAGACTCAGGAAGCATGCTAGGTTGAAAGGAAGAAGAGGGCACTGTGTCCCAGTATAAAATTAGTGGCAAACATGCTCAAGAAAAATCAGAAAAATGCAGAAAAGTATAAAGACCCCACTCCTCCAGAGAAACACCGAGCTCTTGGGGACTCTCCCTCYGGCCTTCTCTAAATAGGATCCGCTTGGCTTCCAAGCCTTGGGTTGTGCCAGCATTGCCTGCCCAAGGCCCCAGCCATTGCCACCGCCATGTGAAGGCTCAAACTGCAGGAGACAGTCTCCAAGCCCTGCTCCTTTCTTGTTGGCCCCTGGCCTGGTTACTGCCCTTCCCCAGAGTGCCTCCAACCATGCAGAATGGGTTCTTGGCTTTGGTTTTGTTTTGGTGGTGCTGGGGATTGATCAGATATGTATGTGGACTGAGTGGTTTCCTCAGTTGGTCCTTAAAAAGGAGCCCTGAGAAGTGCCTCTAAGGTACTCATGGAGTTGGCTGGCTGTGGAGTCCATAGGCTCAAGGGGAAGTGAAACCCCTAGTAGCAGGTTGTCCGTCCATTCCTGGTGTTCAGGTGGATTCTGCTCTAAACATCACAGGAATGTTTTACAGATAGCTGATGAATTCCTTAGAATGCCTCAAGAGCACTCACAGAACTAGTTTTAAAATATGGTAGATATTAATCTAACGATACCGATACTTACTTTGAATAGTATCAATAGTCTAAATGCACCAGTTGAAAGATGGTATGCTTGCCTAGCACATGAAAGACCCTGGGTTCAATGCCCAGCAGTGCAAAAGAGAGAGAGAGAGAGAGAGAGAGAGAGAGAAACAGTATGTTAGAGTGGATCAAAAAAGAAGACCTAGCCTGGTGCAGTGGCACACACCTGTAACCCCAGAGACTTGGGAGGCTGAGGCAGGAGGATCACATGTTTGAGGTCAGCCTCAGCAAATTAATGAGCTTCTGTCTCAAAATGAGAAGGGCTGGGGGTCCTGGGGTTGTGGCTCAGCAGTAGAGCACTCGCCTCGCACGTGCAAGGCCCTGGGCTCAATCCTCAGCACCACATAAAAATAAATAAATAAATAAATAAATAAAGTTATTTTAAAAAAATGAAAAGGGCTGGAGATGTGACTCAGTGATAAAGCACCCCCGGGTTCAATTTCCCGGTACCAAAAACAAAACAAAACATACAAAGAAAAAAAAAAAAAAAAAACAAACCTGTGTTGTCTACAAAAGACTATTTCTATTTATCATTTTGTGTGTGGATGCTTGAGATACTGGGGATGGAACCCAGGGCTTCAGCTATGCTGGGCAAGCACCTACCACTGAGCTGCACCCCAGCCCCCCTTTTTTAAAAATTTTTAGTTATATATGGACATAATATCTTTGTTTTGTTTATTTATTTTGATGTGGTGCTGAGAATCGGACCCAGTGCCTCACTCGTGTGAGGCAAGTGCTCTGCCACTGAACCACATGCCCAGTCCACTCCAGCCCTTTTTATTTTTCATTTTGAGACAGAGTCATCTTGAGACATTTTGAGATAGAGATAGACGCCCAGGCTGGCCTCCAACTTGTGATCCTCCGGCCTTAGCTTCCCAGGTAGCTGGGATAACAGGCAGGCATCATTGCACCCCGCTAAAACCCCACTTTAAATGTAAACATGTGTAGATTAAAAGTAAATGTGTGGGGGCTGCACAGCCTGCATGAGAGGGGCCCTGGGTTCAATCCCCAGTGCTGAGAAGCCACACTCCAACACTAGTCAACAAGAAGCAGGAAGCAGCTGCTCATCCAGGCAGAGCTGACTCCCAAGCAAGGACCAAGTGTGCAATTCTGCAAGAAGAGGTAGTGGTCCTGAGAAAGCCTGCACCCAGCCACAGAGCACCAGGGCACTGGGGCAGGAATCTCAGCACCACAGGGGAGGCAGGCCAGTCCACCGAGGTCACTGGGACTTCCACGCACTTCCATTGGCACAGCTGGTGACATCTGTGGTGACCTGATCCCACAATTGCAGAGCACACGTTCTTTTTCTTTTTTCTTTTTTTAAATGTGTGTGTGTGTGTGTGTGTGCGCGCGCGCACGCGCGCAGCATGTCATCTTTATCATTTTCCTCCTTTTTTTTTGTACTAAGGATTGAACACTCGACCCCTGAGCCACACCCCCAGCCCTATTTTGTATTTTATTTAGAGACAGGGTCTCACTGAGTTGCTTAGCACCTCACTTTTGCTGAGGCTGGCTTTGAACTCCTGATCCTCCTGTCTCAGCCTCCTAACTGGGGCACTACAGTTGCACCCGAAGGTGGATTCATTATGTATTCATAAGTGCACATAATGTAGCAATCTTGATTGGTGGGGGGGTGCTGGAGCTGTGCCCCACCAGGGCAAGTCCAGACTGGACAGGGAGTGACCTGCTGCCATCCTGCCCAGCTCAGCTGTTTGGCCAACCTTGCCACGTGGCGCGGCCTTCAGGGTGACTTCAGGCTCCACCCGCCTGACCTCCTGCTCTTTTACAAGTGAGTGCCCTACCCCATGGCTCCTGGGGGCCCTGCTAGGCAGGCGGGGGGCCTGGCCCTGCCTCCCTGATGTCCTCCCACCTGCCGGCAGCCTGAGCCAGGTAAGGGAAGCTGACTGCCGGGCCTTCACCCACCGTGCTGCCCAGGGGAACACAGAGCTGCTGGCCAACCTGCCTGACCAGAGGATGACCCTGAGACACATAGCTCTGGCCTGCCTGGTAGGTGCCTCCAATGCAGACGGAAGGACAGTAGGGCTGGCCTCTGCTTGGTGCTGACCTGCTTTCCCTGCAGGGGGCGCCTCACCTGCAGCTCAGTGCCTCAGACCTGGAGCTCCTCGGGGTCCTGGTGTGTGACATGCAGGCATCCAGCATCGTGACCTCAGACCCTCATGTGCTGCAGAACCTGCTGCGCTGTCCCCGGCTGACTGCTGCCCAGAGTGTTGCCCTCAACAGCCTGCTGGCCAGTGGGAGGACCCAGCTTGGGTGGGTAGGGGTCACAGGGTCTAGGGTGAGGAGGGGTTGGTGGGGTTGGGGGCTCCCCTGCTTGAGACAAGATAAGAAGCAACTGGATCTTGGGCTCCGGGGGTCACTGATGGCCACATCCCTACTGACCTCTGACTTCTGCCTCACCTYCTCAGCCCTCAGCCTTGCTCCTTCTGCCTCTAGCCCTCAGCCTTGCTCTGGCCCCACAGGCCATGGGGTGCAGGGTGGGGAATGCTGACTGTCTGGCTGGGTGCCCACAGCARGGCAGGCTCCACTAGCTGTGAATGGGCACCTGCCTGTACTCTGGGTACACCTGAGAACCTCCTGGAAGCCTCTTCCGCCCTGCTCAGGGAGGGGCAGCAGGTTGGGGGTTGGGATGTTGCCCTTGGCCCCAACACAGTGCCCCTTCCCATGCACTAGGCCTCCCAGCTCCTGGAACCTGAAGGGGCTACAGGCCCTGGGACCCCTGACCACCTACATCAGCCCCCATGTGTGGGCACAGGTACCAGAGGTAGGTGGTGCCAGCGGAGTGGCCATGGGCACAGGGTAAGGTGCTGCCAGATGTCTCCTCCACCAGCCCATGCCTCCCAGCCACTCTGGGGACCTAATGGGGCCCCAAGACCATCGGAGTCTCTGGGGTGGGAGGAGGGGCCAGGCACCCGTATGATGTGTGGATATCATGCCTACTGCCAGGCTGTGGGCCTGGACTTCTTCCACAGAGTGGTGGCTGCCTGCCGGGCAGGACAGCTCAGCCAGCATGATGCCAGGCACTTCGTGACCAACTTCCTGGAATCCAAGGCTAAATTGGCATCCTGGAGGCCCAAGCGGGGTGCAGGTTGGTGTGACCACCATGGGCATCCCCCAGTCTAGGCTCCCCTCTGGTCTGGTGTGGGCCAAGTTGTTGGTTAGAGGTGAACCTGGGATGTGGTCAACGTCTAATGAGGTCAGAAGTAGAGGTCAGAGTGGAGATGGGCTGGAGCCAGCAGAGGTGTTCAGCTCTGGCCTTGGCTAATGGATCTGGTCATTAGCCCACCCTGCCRGGAGGCCCTGTACCCATGGCAACATCACAGCGGCCACACTCCGTGACAACCTGTTCCTGGTGCACTATGACTGCGCCCAGCTCCAGTCGTGCCTGGGAGGCCCTGTGCTCAGGGCCAACCTGGACCCCCTGCTGCAGCACCCCCTGCCTGCTGAGTGCCAGCGCGTCATCAAGGCCAAGCTGGCCCAGGTACAGAGACAGACCCCCGAGGGGCAGGCAGCGGGGCCTGGGCCACTGAGCTCACCGCCTGCCTCAGGTCTACCCACAGGGCATCCCTGAGGACCAGCTGCGGCTCATCACCTCGCTGGTCTACCTCTTCTCACGCACTGAGATAGGCCAGTGGAACATCACATCCATGGACACGGTTGTGGCCCTACTGGCCTCGGATGTGGCTCTGGAGAACCAGACAGAGGTGAAGGCATTGGGGGTGGCTGGGGAGCCGTCTGGTCCACCCAGCCCCACTGACCCTGTCCCTGTTCCCAGGCAGTCCTGCAGAAGTTCCTGGACCAGAATGGTACGGTCACCAGTGCCCTTCTGGTGGCCATCGGGGGCTCCCGCCTCTGCTGGATGAGCCCCCAGCAGATCCAGACCATCCAGCCCTCAGAATTCCGGTGAGCCTCCCATACAGCCACACAGCTGGCCACCCACCTGGCAAGGGTCACCAGGGGAAACCAAGGCTCAGGAGGGAGACCCATCCAGTCTGGGCTGGGCTACTGGAGGTGCATTCATGTCCTAGGGCCACAGTAACAGAGTACCACAAACTAGGTGACTTGAAATAAGTAACGTGTTCTCCAGAACCTCTGGAGGCCAGAGGTCCCAAGTCAGGGTATCAGCAGGACTCTCCCATGGGTGCTTCCAGTCCCCAGCATGGCTGAAGCTTTGGTGCTCCTGCGAACCCTTCCTCTCCTTCACATGGCCTTCTCCCTGTGTCTGTGTCCATATTCCTCTGTTCCCATAGGGACCCCAGATGCTGGATTTAGGGATGACCTAATCCAGTCTGACTTCTTCTTTTAATCTGATTTCTTCTGCAAACTCCCTACTTGCAAATACGGTCACATTCTAAGGTTCTGGGTAGATGCAAGTTTGGGGGAACCTGCTCAACCCAGCACAGAGGGCAGAAGGTCTCTCAGGGGGCTCACAGCCTCACACTCTGCAGGCTGGCTGGGGTCCTGGACATCTCCTCCTGCCCTCAGAGCCAGAAGGACGTGCTCTTTGCCAAGGCTCGCGAGGCCTTCCACAACACCAGGTCCACGGCTGACTACTACCGCTTCATGCGCCCCTACCTGGGTGAGCCCCGCCTGTGGGTGGTGCCCTCCCAGAAGCCCCCCCTGCCCCTTCTCATCACTGCCCCCCTAGGTGGTGCCCCGGTRGAGGAGCTGCAGCACCTGGCCCAGGCCAATGTCTCCATGGACATCGACACCTTCACCAACCTCAACCCACGAGTGCTCCAGGTGGAGGGCTGCCCTGGCGGAGGGGAGGCAGGGCAGGGCTGGCTGGCCCAGGTGCCCCAGATCCCAGGTCCACACAGTCCTGAGTGAGAGGACCAGAGGTGTTCTGTGCCCCTCCTCGTGTTGTCCCGGGAAGCACTGCCCCTGTGGGGTCCTCCTCAGCCACAGAGGCAGCCTTGAGACCCTCCTGCCTCCCTCCCAGAGCCTGAGTGTCAGCAACGTGACCACCCTGCTGGGGCAGAATGTGGGGGACCTGCAGAAGGCCCGCAGCCACCCCACGGTCAGCTCCTGGCTGCGGAGCCTCAGCAGCTTGGCCCGGGATCAGCTGGGCCTGGACGCTTCCCACCCTGGGCCCAGCCCTTCCTATGCAGCCAGCAGGCCCCCCAGCATCACCCACCCCACACTCCACTTGGCCTCCACCTCAGGCCTGCCTGAGAACTACACCTYGGCCCCCATTGCAGGTACAGTGTACACCTTTACTCCCCTCTGGGCCCAGGGCCCTCTGTAGACCCTAGGCTGTCCCTGTGTCCACCTTGCTTCCCCTCACATCGGCCTCTAAGTGCCTTTGGCTTGCACAGTGTCACCTTCCATTGCCTGCTGACCYATTTGAGGACACAGTGCCTCCTCCTAAACCCACAGATATGCAGAATGAGTGAAGGGAAGCTCTGGGGTCCCTGAGGAGCTAAGAAGAACAGTTGCAGAGGGTCCTYACTGGCCTTCCCACACTTAGCAGCCCAAAGCAGGGGTTCCCAGGGGGGCTGCAGGTGGCTTCTGGTTGGAACTAATAGGTCCCCTCCCTATCTGCCCACAGGAAGCCCCCCAGTCCACCTGGGTTTTTTGCCGCTCTCTGTGGCCCTGCCTTCTGGCCTTCTGTGGCTGCTGCTGYGTCGCACATCTCTGAGCCCAGTGGGGGCTGCTCATGGAGCACCAGGACCCTGGCCAGTGCAGACAGTGCTGCCCCAGGGTGACCAGACCCACAGGCACCACATGCAGGAAACAGGGGGCTGCTAGGTGGAGCTGACCACCTGCCCAGGTTGTGGCTCAGACCCTAAGCCCCAGGGGGACAGCTGTGTCCCACCTCTCAGGAGGCCTGCAGGGCTGGCCCCTCATGCCTTGGCTCCCAGGAGCAGAGACCTGACCAATTACAAGCCCAGGCGGGAARGAAGATGAGGCCCAAATCTCCTGCCTCCTCCAGGACACCTGGGCTGGGCAGGACTTCAAGGTCATTGTTCTCCCTGGTGGATCAGAATAAAATGTAAGGCTATCCTGCCACCTGTGTATTTGCTCAGGTCCCAGAGGGGACACAGGGACCCTATTACCAGGGCCCAGCATGTGTCCACCACCTTGGCAACACCATCAATCACAACAGGAAGGCCTCTCAAACAGCCCCCCCRGCCTAGAGGCCCACCCTGGACTCTTCTTTCGTGAGAGTGAGAGAGCTGACCACATGGACCCCAGATTATAGGGTCACAGGAAGCCCAAAAGCCCCAACCTCCCACCTGGCCCAGTGACATCACAGGACATGCCTGTAGGRCAGGTGCTACTGTTTATTGAGCTCAAACACCCTCAGGGTTTGACAGCAACCACCTGACTGCCACCTGCTGCAGATGAAGAGGTGGCCTCAGCTCAGGGTCAAAGCCAGGAGCACAGCTGGGATGGATGTGAGCAAGAGTCCAGGTCCATGGAGGGGGCATGCCCCAGAGAAGGCCTCTGCACAGAGAGGGGTGACTCARACCCCCTCTGCCCTCTGCCTTCCCCCCACCCTCCCTGGACTCTGCCCAGGCCCCCTGGCCCACCTCGGGAGCGGAGGTCCAGGACAAGGTAGCCATTGGGGATGCCCCCCTGGAGCCCCAGCCCTAGCCTGTCCAGGTCCTCCTGCCGCTGCTGTGAGATCCAGTCCTGCACTGGGCTGTCCTCTTCCTCAGCCTTCAAGTCCCTGACGTGTGGCCCCAGAAATTTCTGTACTTCAGACACGGTCAGACCCTACCAGACCATCAGGCATTCATCAGTGTCTTCAGGCCCCAGAAGATGGGGTGCCACTGTACCTATACCACCCACGCCTCCACCCATAGCTTCCTGCTGACCTCAGCCTGTACATACTTGGCTCTCAGACAGGCTGGCCCTGGCATGTTGATTGCCCAGCCAGAGGTCGCACCCCACTGTCCCGTCCCGACCTACCACCACAGCCTCAACCGGTAGCTTCTTGAATGTGGCCATGTCTATGGTCATATTCTGCAGGATGAGTGTCCTCAGGTCCTCCATGGGAGCCCCACCTGTGCAGGAAGGACCCCCAACTTGAGGCCATATGACATACCCCAGCCCCATCCTCTGCTACGGGCTACAGAAAGTCCACCTTCTTACAAAGGCTCCTTCTTCCCGAGGAGTCCTGGTCCCGGCTTTGCCTGGTAGCAACCTAACCCTCTAACCAAAAAGGGCCAGAGCTCTTTCAGAGTCAGAGCTCACCGTCTTAAGTACACATACTTGGAGGAATGGGGGACAGGAATGGGGGACTGCCCACTCACGCCTACAGAGGGCATTCAGGGAGGCCCTTGACTGGCCACTGCAAATAGGGGTCTTGCCTGCCCCTTGCTCTGCCCACCTGCCAGGGTGCCCTAGCTTACCCAGGAAAGCCTGGATCCTTCCAAGGTACTCAGGCTGGCTTATATTCCTGAAGGTCACGCAGGCCTTGGAGTAGAGGACATGTAGCTGCCTAGGGCCACATGAGTCCAGGTCCTGGGGTCTGATGGCCCTGGGGACAGTGTGGGGCCAAGCAGTGAGTGGGGACCACAGCATGCCCACCCTGCCCTGCAGAGGACTGTGACTCACCACATGACCCTGGAGGGCACAGAGTGCAGCTGCTCAGCACTGAGGAAGCACAGGTAGGAAGGATGGAAGCCAGCCAGGCTACCCATGGTGTCCTGGTCCAACTGGCCACCTCCCAGCACATAGCGGGCAATCAGGGCAGTCACCTGTGGGAGGAGGTTGTTGAGGTGCCTTGGAGCAGGGAGAGATGGACCCCTACCAGCCAGCAAACTTTAAGCTGTCCTTCCAGGCTGAACAGTACTGTGCTGTGTTCCCCCAGGTCAGAGTCCAGAGTCCCCTGATGCCCCCGTCATCAGGCCACATAGTCCCGTGCCGATGCCCCTCAGGCAGGTGGTCACCTGCTTGTCCATTTTTTGCCCTTTGCTGACATTGAGTAGGGCTTTCACAGTCTCCAGGGAGGTCAGGTTCCACTTGTGGATGTCCTCGGGGCTGACATAGCGGAAGAAGTAGCCCAGGCGCTGGACCAGGGACTCAGGGTAGCCTTGTGGGTAGGTCTGTGGAGAAGGTGACCATGAAGGCCAGGGCCACTCCCTGGGTGAGGCCAGCAGGCAGTAGCATGTGGCATCAACTACCTGGTCTAGCCTGCACTTGAGGGTGTGGATCTGCTGGTAGGTGAAGGGGATCGCATTCACAAGGTCCATGTGGGTAGACAGCAGGGCACCGTCCACACAGGCCTCYAGTTCCCACTCTTCATAGAAGATGAGGTTTTCATCCACCACCTGGGGCTTCCGGCCTGGGGGGCAGGGCTCCTGCTTCTGGGGGCAGGCCCTCTCTGCAGGGGAAGGCTAGTCAGGGGCCATCGGCAACCCCTCCTTCCTCCCATGTTGTCTGGGAGACTTGGGGGCTCAGTTWACCCACAGGAGAAATGGGGCGGCTCCATCCCCTCAGAGTTTATGAGGGAACCAGCTGAAGAGCCAGGAAGGGTTGGGCGTGGGCCGGGGGAGGGGGACCACTGAGACCCCAACCCTGGGATTCTGCCTCAGCCTGATGCCCAACGGGCAGGGCAGGGGCTCACCCTGTGTGTCCCGCCGGAGCCTCATGAGGGTGGCAGGAAGCTCTGGCCTCCGCCAGGATGGGCCCYTGGAGTGGCGCAGCAGCCAAGCAGCCAGGACATCCTGAGGACAGAATGGGTGGTTGAGCCTCATAGCCCAGAGGCTTTGCAGCAGGGGGCCGGGGTCTCACCTTGGGGATGTCCTGGATGATGGGCTGGTCCAACACAGCTAGCAGGCCCTGCAGAGCGTCCAGCGTTGAGACTGACCACCTCGACGGGGGCCTGTCCAGATACAGGGGGCCATCCAGAATTAATAGGGGACAGAAGCAATCCCAGCACTGCCCTGGACAGATATTGTGATGGGGACCCCGCAGGGACGCTGACAGGGTATGATGGACGGCTGGCCCTRGCACCCAGCACAGCTGTGGCTACCCATTGTGCACTCACCAGCCACTTACCCGTAGGGGGGTCCTCCGCTTTGCAGAACCACTCTGGCTGCCTCCTGCTGGCCCTGGTCCAGGGGCCCCGGGCAGCCTGCCAGCCAGGGGAGGAGGACTGGAGCTGAGTGCACCACGAAGTGCCCAGGCAGGTCACAGGCCAGGGCTCCCAGAGCCTTCACGTCCGCCTTGAGCACCCGGGAGCCGCGCACGCCCTGCATATATGCAGGGGCCTCAGTGCCTTGGGGAATGGCCGAGCCCCSCTCACTGCCTGCAGCCCCTACCCTGTCCCAAACCTGGCAGGCTAGGGCTGCAAGCAGCAGCCGCCGCCKCTCCGAAGCTCTTGGTGGGAACACGTTGGCCTTGGTGATGTGGGAGAAGAGGCGTGCACAGGCCTGGGACCCCGGGGTTGGCGCTGGACTGCGCAGAAGGTCTGGGTCAGGCACCCTGAGCACTAGGCCTCCTGCGGGCCCCCTGGTGAGYCAAGTCCCTGCACTTTGAGGTCCCCAGGCACAGAGGTGCGGCCAAGCCCAGGAACAGGCCCTACTTGAGGAAGGGCGCCATGTCCAGTGAGGAAAGCATCCAGGTCCTTGGGGATGAGGTGCTGGGAAAGGCGACCTGCCAGGCAGCTCAGCCACCAGGAACAGGGACATCTGGCTCAGAAGGCTCTGGCAGCAGCATCCCAATAGGCCCAGGGGAACATGTGGGGACTGACCTGACCATCTTGAGTGCCACATTCTTCTGCTCCGTGGCCAGGGCCCCTCCTGGGCGTGTTCCACACTCAGGCCAGGAAGCCAGGGAGGAGGCCTGGGGCGAGGCTGGCTGGGCCAGCAGTGTGCACCCCCTCCCACAGTAACCCTCCTCCCGCAGCGTCCCCCTGGGCTCCTCACCCAGGTGACACTCAGAAGGGCAAGGAGTCACTCCTCTGGGAGTCAATGCCCCTCTACCCCTGAGCCTCCAGGCAGAGAGGGGCACAGAGAGATTCAGGCTCTCCMCAGGGGACGTGGGGGTGGAACAGGGAGTAGACAGAGAGGATGTGGGGATGAAGGCTGAGGACAAACTGTGGCTGGCACCTGGCCACCAGTAAGGGCACCAAGCCCTYAAAGGCTGCAAGGTCAAGACCTACCTGGTAGAGTTGCTGGTGTTGACCAAGCCTGGGTCCAGGAGCACAGCCTGGGGGACAAGGCCAGGCTGACGGCTCCCCCAGGCCTGTGCCTCTCTGGCCCACTCCACCTTTGCCTGGTACCCACAGCTCCCTCCTCCAGGGCATGGGGGAGAACAGCTGTCACCCACCTCCACCCATGACCCGAAGCCCTGCCCTTCTCCCACCAGCCCCTCACCTGTCCCATCTCTRTAACCTGAGTCCTTAGAGGTTGCAGCCACCCTGTGAGGTAGAGGGCATGAGGTTGGAGGGGAGGGCTGGGGGCTTCTCAGGTAGACCCCAACCTGGGAAGGGAGGAGGTCTCTCCCCTTCCCACCTCTTCTCAGTCCCACCCAGCACAGCCTACAGGACATGGAGAAAAAGTTGAGGCCCCTGCACCACAAGGTGCCGTAGCGCAGGCTGCCAGGCAGGGATCTGAGCTGCACAGAGAGCCAGGGCTTCCTGCGTCCTTCCCCTGGCAGGACACTTCTTCTCCTGGGCACCAGGTCATGCTCAGCCCCAGCCCCACCAGGACACAGGCCTCCTGCCCACAATGGGGGAGAAGGCACAGGGCAGTGGGGCTTCCCCAAGGTTCTGACCCATGAAGGGCCCAGGGCTGCCCTCCCCCGTCCCTGGCAACCCACAGCCCACCACTGGACTCACCCAGGCTGAGGAGCAGCAGCAGAAGCCTGCCATGAGTGGCGGGCTCACAGGACCCCAGGGAGTGTTGAGCTGTGGGCAAGGCCATGTCCTATGGACGACAGTGCCTCTGATGTCCCCACCCGATCCCCACCAGGCAAGTGAGGGGCCTTTGGGCCAGGAGAGCTCTGGCTGAGCCTGTTGGGCACAGGCAGGAGCGTCTATGCCACTGGCCCTGCTCTCAGACTGGCCCGCCCCTCAGGAAGCCAGCCCTCCTGCAGGGARGGGAGCTGGAGCTGAGTCAGCCTGGCCCCCAGCAGAGAGCTGGGCTTTTCCAGGACCCTTGGGTGGGGCCTAGCCACGGAGAGAGTTTGGCCTCACTGTGCTACCTTGATAACAATTGTTCCTTTATGCCCAGTGGATCTGGGGACTGAGCAGACCACAAGCTCCTTGGAGTGTGAGGCTGATGTAGCCATGTGTGATGGGGCAAGACCAGCCCACCCCACCACAGCCAAGAGCTCCCAGCAGGACATGGTTCTGGCTTTCCTGACCTATAGCGCAGCCCAGCCCRAGGTCTGGCCCTCATGTGATGGAAAACGAAGGCAGATCCCCCTCGTCGCTGAGGCCAGGCCTCAGTGAGTACTTTGAGGGAGACTGTGGGTAGGGGTGGTCTTCAGCCAGGGCCATCCCGTCCTGCTCCCAGCACAGAGATGACCCCTGAGGACAGCAGGAGAGGGAAGTTCTTATAGCTCTCCCTGTGCAGCAGGGTGCAGGAAGRGGGAACCCATGGAGGGCAGGGCAGGCCGGCTGGAGGGGCCAGTGCAGGTGCCCTGCCTGACCTCCTCCTGGCACACCCAATCCCACCCATACACATTGGAATGTGCATGACCCAGGCCCTGTCTCCCACCCCACGTGGACCAGGCCCCCACCAGCCCCTTGTGAGCCTGGATACTGAGCTTAGCCCCAGGAATTGTGGCTCCTGGAAAACCCCCACCCGTTGTCTTGAGATTCCCAGGTAAATGGGATACTGTCCCAGAGGGGCCCGCAGCCCCACCCTAGAGGAAGAACAGGGCTGGAGTGGGCCCTCACTGTGCCCCACTCCTCGGTGCTCCTTTCACTTGCAGACCGAAGCTCTTGTCTGACTGGCCSTGCTGTGCTGCCTGTGTCCACCTCGGGTCTCCTCCAATGCCCATCCCTCGCCCCAGGGAAGACCTGCCTGGGGCAGACCCTGCTCTATAGGCTGAAACACCACCACAGGCTTCTGCAGGCCCCGGGCCAGGGAGGACGGCAAGGGAGAGGTGGGAGTGGRCGAAGAGTATGCAGGGAACAGGGTGTGGACCACTCTCTAGGCGTGGGCAATGCTGGACAGTCTGCTTAAGGAAGTTCTGGGAACGTGGGAGCCAGCCTAGGTGGGGTGCCTCCACGTTCCCACCTCTGGCTACGGTTGGGTGTAGTGTCCTGATGCAYGTCCCTTATAACCCCAGGCCCTGAGGCTCTGAGTGGACCCTCCCCAGGGCCTGAATGGGCCCTGCCCAAGGTGATGCTGAGGATCCAGGTGAGTGGMAAACCTCAGCCCCTCTGCCTCCCTTTCCCCACCTGGGAAGTGGGGAGTGGAGAAGCTGGACAGTGTCCCAGGCTGTCAAGGGAACAAATGAGGCTTGGCGGCCTGGCGGCTGGGAGAGGCGCTGCTCATGCCATAGGAATGTGCGGGTGGAGACCCTGCCAGGGAGCCAGCCAGACTGCACAGGTCAGACCCTGGCCACCTGGGGAGGAGGACTGCTCCCTTGCTCGGTGGGTGGGGTGGAAGTACCAGGCCCCGGCTCCAAGGAGTCTTGTGTTTCCATTTTTCAGGGGATGGAACTGAGACAGAAAGTGGCCAAAGTCATAGGTCAAGCCAAGGGCTGGACTCCCAGCYAGAGCCTCAGTGGGCCTCTGCAGGCCACACTGCCAGGTCACAGCTCCAGGGACCTGCTGGCTCCTTTCACATGTGCTCCTGACTCAGGCAACWTGAAGAGGAGAAACTATGGCAAGGAACAGTAAGCAGGGACTACAGGAGGTGAATCCACCAG